AAAAAAAAAAAAAAAAAAAAAAAAAAAAAAAAAAAAAAAAAAAAAAAAAAACCCAGCCGTGGAGGGGAGGGAGCTGGGGAAGGCAAAGGCAGCCTCCACCAGTTTGGATGTGTGTGAATGGGGGCTGGGGAAGACAGCCAATGACCTTGCAGCTCAGAAGTACCTTTTCAGGGCCTGCTGCACCTCTAGACTAGGAAGGCTCCACTTCCCAGGCCTGGCTTACAGCTCCTTCCCCTCCCAGTCTTTGAGGTGGCTACCCAAGCTGCCCCAGTCCCCTCCTGCCCAGGAGCCAGCTAAGGCTGCACAGCTGCAGAGGAGATGAAAAGCTGGAGGTGGGGGGAACCAAACAGATATTTGACAGGGCAGGAGGGGGTGGGGTGATTGGAGAGAATTTTGTCCTTGCTAAAGTTTAACTGCAGAGGATCTGAGTCCTTCCTGGGACATGTTCTGCTTATGCGGAGACCCACTGCAGTGCACTTGCCTGTAACTCACCAGGAGGCAGCCTTTCCTCCTGCCTACTTTCCATCCCTGTCCCATCTGCCATGGTGCAGTTGAGGCCCTCCACTGTGCTCAGGGTCCTGGCTATGTGGGGTGGGCTGCAGGCCACAGCTCCTGCCTCTCTCTCCAGCCTGAACTACAGAGTGTGGAAGAAAAACTGAGGGGCAGGTTCCAAAGCAGGACTAGGGGCCCCAGAGCTGTATCAGGCCATCTTCTTGAGATGCAGACAAACCTTGTCCTCTGGCATATGCATGTGTGAAAGAAGGGAGAGGGCACGTGTGGGGTGCTCATTCCATTGCCAAAGTACCAGTATCCAGAGGTCTCCCTCACCTGGGGGACAAGCACAGCAGCATGGAGTCATTCCTCATCACCAACTGCTCTGGGCCTATGTCTAAAACTGGCAAATAAACGGGAAGCCCAGGGAGATCAATCCCCAGGATCACTGGTGTCCTGCTATTCATCTCTAACAGGCCACTGGGCTGACCCAGCCCTGGACCACACTCTTACTGGCTATGCACTTCTCAGGACTGGTGGATCTCCCCCTGCTTGTCCTGCTCTGGGTCTCCCTTTGCCTCTGAGTTGAAGGCAGAGCCCAGTCAGCTCAGGGAAATGCACTGTGCTCTGAAGATTAGAAGCAGTGAGACCCTGCCCCACAAACCTACCCTCTGCAGGCAAAGCTAGGCAACATTTCAGTCCTGCACAGCAATCTTGAAGATGGAACCCAATTGCCTTCCTCTCCTAGACCTTGAGGACAGCGAGCCTAGGCTACCATGTTGCTGATTAGACCCAAGATCCTCCTTGCTTCAGCTTGCCTCTGCAAACAGACCCATTCTCAGTCTTCTTTCTTATTTTCCATTCTCTAAAAACCAAGGGTAACTTTGCTAAGATCATCAGGCCTGCAGTCTGCCTAGCCTCTGACTCCACAGGGACACCACAAATGACCTGAGATACCAAGAAAGACATGGGTGGAAGGAGTAGAAGAGCTAAGAGGTAACATCAACTGTAACTCTAAGCCATCACAGCTCCACCCCAGTGGTAGTAGGCACAGGAAGGAGATGCCAGAAAGGGACAAAGAGAGGGTTCCTAGTCTCCTAGTCCCACCAAGGACAAGGCCAAGCTAGGCAGAACGAGGTACAGGCATCTGCCCACTCGCCTGCAGCGGGTGGCCATAGCACCTTCCATTCCACTCAGGCTCCCAGCGCCAAATCCACAGCTCATCTCTCTGCAGAGGAGCAAGGACAGACTTGGCACGTGCTCTCGCCAGGACATCGGACACACACGGGTACAGGAGGAAACCCATGGCCTGAGTCCTTGCTGAGGACTCGAAGGGAAATCTGGAAGGGTTGGGAGAGGACTCCCTGAGAGCTACGAAGGCATACTGCAGGGAAATAATACCTTTCTCTTGTGTGGGTTCTGACGTGGAAGCCCCCAGATCCTCCTCCAGCACAGTGATGCCCTTCAAGGCCTGGCTCAGAAGTCCTGCCTGGCCTTTTGCTCCTCACCTGCCTGCATCCCCCATGTGGGAGTCTGTCCCAACTTCAGAATGTGGTTCTATTATCCCACCTGCCCCCACAAGTCTGTGGGGCATTAGGGGACGAGAGGCAGCATCAAACCTCTCAGTAGCACCACAGCCCTTCATGAACTTTTAGCACTAAATACATATTCAAAAGGGAAAGGAGAGAAACCAGAAGAGAGCAACCAAAGGGAAAAGAAAAAGGAAAAAATGGCAAAGAGAAACAACACAGTAAAAAAAAAAAAAAAAAAAAAAAAAGTGACAGACCTTCCTCCCTAGGTCTAAGGGCTCTGAGCGCTTCCCTCTGGCCAGACACACACTGCGGGGTGGAAGCATGGGCCTCCCACCCTCCCCTGCCTGCCAGCCCTGTGCTGGCTACACCACACAGCACTGCCAGGCCTGGATGTTAGGGCCAGACCATGCCCCCAGCATCAGGTCCCTCCGTCTCCTGCTGTGGGTCTTAGACAGTCACCTAACCTCACCTGTGGGAGAAGGCTAGTAAGAGTGTACACCTCACACGGCTGGTGGGGGAATTTAGTATCATTCAGAATTAGTGTATATTATTACTAGGTAAAAACCAATGCTTTAAATATATATGGTCAATGCTAAAAAACCTTGGTAACATCACAGAATGCCAGAATTCAAAGGGGCCACCACTGTTAGCATCTGCACATTTGCTCCTTCATAGATGAGCAAAGTGACCTGCTGAGGTCACCCAGCTGACGACAGAGATGGGTTTAACACTCAGGTCTCCTAACTCCCTGGTCAACGCTGTTTTTTCGGTATTTCCTTGGCCCTTCACAGGTGTATGCTAGGTACTGGAGAAGAGATGCCCTCCTGGAGCTTACGGTGTGGTACAGACACAGAGGGGTCAAGCATAAGACAGGATGACACTGTGGAGGGAGTAGATGGGAGGTACAGAGTGCCAGGAAAGCATCCAGAGGGGACTGGACCTTGCAAGGTGGTGAACAAAAGCTTGCTGACTCACAAGGGAGCTGAGAACTAACAAACGAGAAGGGGGTCAGGAGGTGAGGTGGAAACCAGGGAGAGCATACGGGTGGGAGTTCATTTAGCCCTGACCGTCCCCAACACGCTCACGTAAAACTCAGGGTGCCTTCCAGCATTTACTGCCAGTTGTTTCAAGGATCTCTGCCAGGTTTATTTAACTGGACCATATGCTCCCTGAGGGCAGCAGTGACTACTTGGGCTTTGCCAGAAATGCCCTGGGGTTTAAACACTGTCCAGAGCTGGGCACTCAGCAGGCAGAAAACCTCCCTCCAAGACACGCTAGCTAAGGTGGGGCCCAGCATCTCAGCACAGACGGCAGCCAGAGACCGAGAGACACAAAGCCTGGCCACTCACGTACCTGCTGCATCCACCGTCTCCTTCATGATGATCTCTACCCGCTCCACATGGTGCCGGTTCCAGATGCGGTCCAAAGCCTGGCGGTTCTGGTCCCGGAAAGGCAGGATCTGAGCCACAGCCTGTCAGGGAAGAAGACCGGCTATGCTGTAGGTTCTTCTCGGGATAAAGAAGGAAGTCCGGCTCCAAGGAAGGGCTGCAGACCTCTCTGTTCTCTGCTCAGAGGACAAGATGCTCTCTGAGCAATGGTCTCGGGACTTCAGGCTTTAACAGCCCGGTAAAGACTCCAGAAACATTTTAGTGACTTCCACAGGCTTACCAGCTTTTAATTTTGCCAAGAGAGAAAATATTTTAAATTACCTAACTTCTGTTACCATCAACTTTTAATAAAATTAGGATAATTTAACACCAAAAATATAGCAATAAATGATTCAAATGAATACATTTATCATTTTTTCTCATTTTGTCATAAACAAGAAAAACAAACCTCACCAGGACTGGCAGAGGTCCAGCATTCCACCATTTGGGAATATTGCTATGGGCAATTCTAAATGGGGTTGTATGGACAACAACGTCTGCGCCTTAGGTAACTATACAGTACCCACCCACACGGCCATGGGCTCATGTCAGCACCAGGGAACACAACTGTTGCAGAGGTTGCTGGGACTGAGTGCTCTGTGGGGCTAGAGGCACAATCAGAGTGAACTAGCCAGTTCACCAGCATCACCCAGGAGGTCAGCCCAAGCTCCTGCCAAGGCCTGGCTGAGAAGCATGGGCCCAGGAATTCACTGCCCCCTATTCAGTTTTAAGATCTCATCACCAAAACAGAACTCCAGAAAAAAAAGGGTTTGAGAAAGGGTAGACGGGAGTATAATTAGTTCTCACAGCAGGCCCAGCTGGAATTCCCAGAGCAGATCGGGCTAGAAGCCAGGTCCAGAACCCGGAAGTCCCAAGCCACCTGTGTAGAGGACGCAGGCCAATGCAGAGACATAGGAGCTCAGACCCTGGCTGAGAGATGAAGAGGACAGGGATGTACAGAGTGGAAGGGAGGCTGGACACACCACAAGAACCAAACAGGCCTGCCCTGCTACTTAGTTTTTCCTTTGCCCGTCACCTGCTTGACTTCTTCCAGACCAGGGGAGCTGGGCCTTTACAGTGCACTCTGGTCTGATTCCACCATTAGTGGTGCGGCCCTGATGATGGGATCTACTGGCACCCAGCTACCCCCAACCCTTGAAGCTCCAAGCTGAGGCTCACCTGCTTGCCCAAGTAATGGTCCACGCGGAACATCTCTTCCTCTTGGAAAAAGCTCCCAAGTTCTGTGGCCAGCTGCTGGGCTGAGAGGTGGTCATGGCCAAAGGGTTTCTCAAGGACAACCCGCAGCCAAGCGCCTGGGCCTGGACGGCAGCTGCTGTTGATGTTGCGGGCAATGTCTGCATAGGCGAAGGATGGCACCGAGAAGTAGAAAATCCTGCCAGCTTCCCGGAGGCCCTCACGTTGGACCTGTGCCTCGATGTCCTTGCTCAGGGCCTGATAGTCCTCAGTCGCCTTCAGCTGGTGGTACTGGCTCAGTTGCACGAACTGACTCTTGAGTTCAGCACAGTGATTGAGTGCCATGTCCTTGGGGCAGGAGAGGGATTCCAGGGCCTTAGCCATGAGCTCTTGGCCCTGCTTGGGGGCTGTTAGAGCAGCCCCGTGGAAACTAAAATTGTGGCCCTTTCCAGCCTCGTCCAGGTACAGCTGGAACAGCCCCTGCCACAAGTACTTCTTAGCCAGGTCCCCAGTTGCTCCCAACAGGATTATGGAGACATGTCCCTGGAGTTCCTGAGCCTGCAGAGAGCCCAGCAGAGCCATCCACACTGCCACGGTGAGCATTTTCCAAACGCCTAGGTTTCTGGGGTGCGTGGGAAAGACAGACAAGGAAGAAGGAAGACATGGTTCAGGTGGTTGTGATGTAGAAGCAAATACAATGTTAGGGTATCAGACATTTCCTTCCTGGCAAGTTAACAGCCACTTGTTTCTTAAGAAAATGTTATAGTCCCACAGCTTCCTCCTCCCTCCTGGGCAGCTTGGCTTCTATGCCAGGAAGCCTGCCCTACAAATAGGGACTGTGTCTAAAAAGGCATAAGCCACTTGCTATGGATTGACCATTTGCTGCCAGAGTATGGAAAAGTGAAACAAGGAGGCCCAAAGGATGGGATGGCAGCCATCCACGTTATGACCAAGGCCGGTGTCATACAGGAGTACAGGTCACCTAAACCAGCAGGACAATCCTAACCCAGGAATGGTAGCAGGCCTTCAGATGACAGCTGGAACTGCGAGAGGACAAGACCACCTCCCTTCACCCTTCACACTGCTTCTCCCATGGCTACTAGGCTCTAGGCACAAAGTGATAACAAACAATTGTTACAGCACAACAGTTAGAAACCCTGGAATCAACTGTCTGAATTTGAATCCCAGTTCAATTCCTTAGTAAGTAGATAATTATTTAACCTTGCGGTACCTCAGTTTCCTCATCTGAAAAGGTATCGACATCACAGGGCCATTATAAGGATAAAACAATGAACATTTATAACATGCTTGGACAGGACCTACCACCTATTACTATGGGATACCAAGAGCAGCAAGCACTGATTACCAGCCTGTACCAAACACTGAATTAATTCCATGTGCATTAGATCTCGGTGATCCACATAAGACTCCTGAAAAGAACCATGTGGGATGAGTTCCATGAAAGCCTTGCCTTTTGCAGATGAGAAAGCTGAGGCCAGGAAAGATGAAGGTCCCACAGTGAGAAAGTGAGGGAGTTAGGACTGACCCATGTTCCCTGGCCCCTAAACTGAAAGAACAGCCATTGCATGCTGAGTTCTACCCAAAGCAAGTCTACCATCTTGGCTAGTTTCTAGCCTCATTTGACCCAGCAGCTGACTCGTAGGAGAGGTCAGAGCCCTGGGACAGGTCACAAACATAGCCTCTAGCTCTCCAATTTCCCACCAAGGCAGGTGCTTTTTATTTTTTATTATTATTATTATTTTAGAGGTTTTCACTATAGGGCGTGTACGCTCGCCAGACAGAGACACAAAAAGCAAAAAATCACCCCCCAGGGGGGATGGTCATTCCGCAATCCCTTCTCCTCCATTCTCCTTTCCGGGATCTTGGGCACACACGCCCAGCGTGAGTTTTAAGCCACCGGGTCCGGACGCGAACGGCAGTCAACTAAGTGGCAGTCCAGCGACATAGCCATTACACTAACTGCTGGTTCCCCAAGGCAGGTGCTTTAAGAGAAGGGTCCAGGCAGTGAAGAGCAAAGTAACCATGTCAGCTCCTCAGGCAGTCAGAAACAGATGGGTAAATGAGGGCCCACCCTGGACAAGCAGTAAGAAAGGAATTAGGACTACTGATTTAGCACCTATTGTATGCCAGGCATTCCATCAGATAAAGGAGGAATGAGATCTGCAACGATCTCAGGAGGTTGTAATCTGGTTAAGCAGCTAGGGAAACTGAGATGTAAAGAGATGGCTGAATTTATAAAAGACTCATAAAAACCAACCAGTTTATACAGAAGGCCCACCTGTCCCTTGACTCTGACATGATTCCCCCTTCCCTCCTCTCCCTCTGCATCTTCCTCATCTCTCTTGAGATCCATTCCCCAAATCAGGACCCAACTCTGGTGTTTGCACCAAAGTCTACAGGGTACCTGGCATTTTCATCTCTGGAACTTTGACTGGAAGATCAAAGGACTTCTTGAGTGGCTCCAGCTTTCCCCTCCTGTGCTCCTTCATCTGCACTCACCGCACCACCACCCCCCAAACACACACACACACACACACACACACACACACACACAAACACAGACGACCCCAGACCCAGCCTGCTTTCTTCCCCTGCTTTCCAATCCCTGTCCTTGGTCCTTCAGGGTTTTTTTGTTTTGTTTTCTCAACTGGCAATCACCTCTGTCTGGAGGGAAGAAAAAGCTGCAAGGTCAGTGATGGAGAGAAGCAGCAAGAAACCTGAAGCCTAGGGAACAGCCTGGAGAAGGAGGAGCCGCCAGCTGGCAAGCTGCGTTTCAAAGCTCCTGATCTGATCCTGGTAGCCAGGGATCTGGATGTGCCTGGTGTAAGGGGAGGTTCTCTGGAACCTCAGAGTGCCTGGATAAGCAGGTGGGGAAGCCCCAAGGGCCAGCACCTCTGCATCCCCCCAGAAGACTGCACTAGCCAGACGGATGGCCACCTGCCCTGGACTGATTCCCAGCCGTCCACGTGTTCCTGTTCTGACTCTGAAATCTTGCGGCAATCCTCCCCTAACTAGTCCTGTTCTGGGTTGCCAGTTCTCAGGGTTGGTCTTCCATATCTCTTGCTTATGTTCACAGCATGTCTTTAAGCAAACACAAAACAAAGCTGTGAGGCATTTCCACACTTGTTGCTAAACAACTAGGGAACAACTATGCTCTAAATCGGTGTGGGTGGTATGTGGTTGCATTTGTTTTTATTTTTATTAGCATGTTTTTCATCTTAACCATGCTTCTTAAACTTTAATGTGTACTCAGATTTCCTGGGGATCTTTTTAAAATGCAGATTCTGATGCAGAAGGAGGGGGCCTGAGGTCCTGATGGCTTGTACAAAGAGAATGCTTTGAGTAGTAAGACTGGAATACTGACTAATGAGTTCTAGAGCAAAGGCTCTCATCACTAGAGGGCACCAAAGGGCCAGCTGGTGACATGGATTCCACATGGACAACTGCGAGGTTCAAGTCTTGGACCTGGCAGCTTGTAAAACACGCCAGGTGTGTTTGTGTGTGTGTGTGTGTGTGTGTGTGTGCCCCAAATCCCAAGAGAATGAAAAAGAAACTGTAACGTGGTCATCCCCTTGCAGGGACTTAGTGATTTCCTTCTCTCTCTCTCAATCTCTCTCTCCCTCCCTCCCTGGTGAGTGCACACACTAAATAGGAAAAATGAAAAAAAAAAAAAAAAAAGAAGAAGAAGAGGGTACCAGAATCAAAGTACACACACCTAATCTCCTATTCTCTTAATCAGGATAATGAGATTCTGGGGCCAGCAGCTGATGTGGTGGTTAAGGTGCTAGACTCCCACATGGCTGACCGCACGGTTCGAGTCTGGGACCTGGCAGCTTAAAATTCACACCTAGTATGCCCCAAAGGAGAATGAAGGAGAAGGGATTGTGGCATGGCTGTCACCCCTGGGAAGTGATTTCTCATTTTCTGTCTCTCTCTCTCCAGTACCCTATAGATAAAAATCTCTGGGAAGAAAAAAAAGATAATGAAATTCTTATTCAGAAGGTCCAAACATGGTGTTAAATAAAAATTATAGGAAGCCACTGTTTTGAACTAAGTGCCTGCTCTAGGCCCCGACAAACCAAATCAAAACGGAGTCACTCATGCTAAAATGTCATATTATCAAACTGAAACTTTAAGGAAGCTGACAGATCTACAGAACAGACTAGTTGTGATTTTTTTTTTCCCTGAAAACAGGAGATTCTGGTCTATTCTAGTTACAGCTATAAAGAAATAAAACTTATGCACACCTGTGACTTTCTTAGGTATGTGTACCTGAAATGGCTCAAAAATACTACCCAGACTCACTGGACCGTTTGCTGTATGAACACCTTCATTGCCCTTTACCTTCCAGGCTCTGTGTTCCCACATTTTGCTTAAGATGAAACACAGGGACCACCAATGACCATGAAGTCATCCTGCTCCCCTTTATCACAAAATTTAGCAGCTCACTAGTGTACAGCCCCATTTGCGACTTTGACCTTTAAAGCCATCCTGGAGCCTGTGACACCTTGGTATGTATTATCCAGGTAACTAATCCTGCGGTATGAGAGTGTCCTAACCCTGGCCCTGCACTTTACATATTAGTCCTTTTCTTTTTTTATGGAGAGGTTTTGCTATATGGCACGTGAGGTCGCCTCTTGGGCAAGCGCACACACACACGTACCCAGCATGAGTTTAAGCCACCGGATCCGGGACTCGAACCATGGTCGACTACATGGGAGTTCAGTGACAGAGCCATTACACTAACTGCTGATCGCACTAATCCTTTTCTTTACTTCCTTTTTCTCGGCCTGTTTTTTTTTTTTTTTTTTTTTAGACTAACAATGGAGTATTTCAAAACATTCTTGAATAGTTTAATTAGCTTGACTCCCTGAAAAAAATAAAAAAGGCTGTTAACTACTGAAGCAGATAATACCACCTATGTTTACCAAGTAGTTAGGGTGTGCCAGATAATTTAAATGCAATACCTCAATCATTCTTCACAGTAGTGTTATGAGGGAGGTTCTGTGATGTTCTCATTTTACAGATGAGGAAACTGAGAAATGAATAAATTGCCAAGTCACAAAGCCTGAGGCCTAGGTCATCATGCCAAACAGCCTCCTTAGTCAAGTGGAAGAACATGGTATTTGGGGCAGAGGACCTGGGCTCAAGACCACATCCTGGCTGGATGACATAATCAAATCACCTAAAGAGTATAGGTCCACATTTCTCCACCTATAAATGCAAACTAAAGTGGAGGAAGAGGGTTGTGAAGATCAACTGAGGATACATGTGATAAACTGCTATACAAATGTTAATTACTTAATTACATGCAATGTGCCTCCTAGCCCCCAAGGGTGGCATAATATCATTGCTGTTAGAAAAAACTTTATCCCTGTAGATCCCTCATCTCCTGGGGCTACAGAACCAAGCCCAGTAGACCACATTCAAGCACAAAAGCTGGTACTTATTTAACACTCCCCCTACCCTGTTTGGTTTTTTTTTTTAAGAATTATTTTATTTAACTTTATTTATTTATTTAAATATGACCAGAGAGGGACAGAGAGAGAGAGAAAGGGAGGGAAGGAAAGAACAAGCTGCCAGGTCCAGGACTCAAACTGT